CATGTTGTTGAGATGAGCTCCCACTTTCACTCTGTATAAATTTCTCGGCTCTACCAAATTTTCTCTTATATTTTTTAAACTCTTTCCTTTCTCCCAACGTCGTCAGGTATGACTTTTCATGCTCGAAATAATACTGAAGGTAAGCTGAAGTTTCAAAATTAAAATCATCATCTTCCATTGGAGCAATTGGTGGCACGAATGAAGCTCTGTTGTTCCAATCATTAATGTAGTTTGCGTGCTTCGCAACCCAATTCACACTGTGTTTTCCCCGTCCATCTAATCTGTGCAAGGGGTAATGATCCCATGGAATGGACATAATAGGTTGGTGGCACTTGAACTGCCTCATCACTCGATTCACAAACAATATCTCAACAAATGCAAAATGAATCAATGGTGTAACAACAACCTACGTTTTATAACATGGTCACACGGATAACTAGATGTTTGCCATTTCTTACAACTACACGTCTTTGCATTTAGATCGACAAGCCCATTTAAGTTATTATCCAATACTTCAAATAAAGTGTTTGAACATGGTTCAACTCTCCATGACGTTAACTTTACAACACGTTTCGTTATCTTTTTTTCAGTCCATGGTGTAACACGACGTTCCAATGTTCCTGTAAATTTAAATAAATAATACTTAGTAAAATATATTAAATATGATAAGTTATGGATTTAAAGAAATAATACCTGCATGGTTTCTTTTCTTGTAGTACCACTGTTGAATAGAGGCTCAAAAAAACTCTATTAACATAGTAATGGGTAATTTCCGGGAATGACGACTTAGAGCGTTGATTGATTCTGCACTATTAGACGTCATGAAACCATATCTTGCTCCAAGTTGATGTACTCTTACCATATTTCAAACCCGACATCTTCTAGTGTTTGAGCACACTGAGGCAAAACACGTCTTAAACAATTTATATGTTTATTAAAATCCACTTCGCGATAAGCTTTTACAGCCTTCCAGTATGTCCATTTGTGATTTTTTATACCAGCGGACCTTGATTTTAGATTTCTGTACAAATGAACACCACAAAGTCCATGAAAAGCATCTGGGAAACACCTTCTAACAGCGTTGTCAATTGAGTTTGCCCTATCAGATATGATTATCAGATTGCCAATAGGACATATATAATCCCTAAGATGCCCCATAAACCATGTCCATGAATCAGAGGTTTCAGATTTGCCAACCCCGTAAGCTATTGGCAGTTTTCCATTGTTAGCATCCACGGCTACTGCTAATAAGTTTACTCCAAGGTATCGACCTTTCAAATGTGCTATGTCAACTATAATAACTGGGCGCATTCAAGTAATAAACGAACGAATCTACAAAATCATATACACAAGAAATATAATCATTTAAATGTGAAATGCATGCAACTAACAAAAATGAGTCAACACAATTATAATGATTTATTAACCGCAGAACCAATGGCGATAAACAGCAACTCAAAGCATCCATCTCTATCTGTTTTGATATGAGTTACCGACCCAGGATTTTTCAGCTTTAAATTATGACAATAAGCCGGCAGTTGGGAAAACGATGCTTCTGGCGACCCCCTCAACAATTCCAAGGCATAACATTTGGCTCTCCAAGCTTGAGAATATGAGATACTAATCTTGAACCGAGCATTCATGTTAGTCATAATTTCATGTCCCCGATATACCCTTCTATTAAAAAACATTAACTCAGCCAGAAAACCACCCAACACCTTTTTGTTTGCCTGTCTATGGTGAGGAAAAACTTGGGTTCTTAAACATGTATGTTTATCAATAAAAGTCCTAACTTAAAAAATTTCGCAATCTTTTATCCTCTTTGCAATCATACGCCACGTACAATTTTTGTCAATCATACACTTTGTTTCGAAACGATCTTTGTTTGATTTGTTAACTTTTAGTTGATAGCCATCTTCCACACATTTCATATACAAATCTATCTTCAAGTCTTCCTTTGTATCAAAAAAATCATCTTTCTTGATACGAATAACTTTTGTGTAACAATCAACTACTATCTTTACCAACTCTTCTTCCGGTATCTGAAGTAATTCTGGCATATTCCAGTTATAGTCCCGTGGCATTTTCTTCTTTTTCTTTTCTTCGGGGACTTCTTTTTCTTCTTCAGAGTTATATGAATTACAGAATGGATGTTCAACATGTTCATTCACAGTCGTAACTTCCTCCTCATTATCATCAACAACATCTTCCTCTGCAGCAGCCGTTTCATCATCAAAATTTGGGTATTGACCAATATCAAAATCATTACATGCAGGGTCTGTTTCTTCTTCTGAAACATCATCAAAATCCGAGTATTGACCAAGATTAAAGTCCGGGTATTGACCAAGATCAAATTTTGAATACTGACTAGTACTCACAATTTTTTCTGTTGGCTCATAATCGTCTAACTGGTCAGTACAAAAATCAGAATTTGGTGTTGAAAGTTGATTGAGATTTGGATTAGGAAAAGGTTGTGGGTTTTGAGATTGGGTTTGATATTGTGTTTGGTATTGGAAATATTGTGAAACAAAATTTCTTGGTGATGAAATTGTGGTGGAACCATTAAATTTTGAGATTGATAACAACGTTGTACATTGTGAGCACCATAAACTGAGGTTGAAGAACTTAGTTGATTACTACTCGCTACTGACCCAACTTCACTACTTCTAGTTCAACCACATATAATGTAACATCATCTTCTTGCGAAACACTAATGTAAGCAATGAATCGTTCAATATCTTCATTGTCGGTTAACAAATAAACTTTACCTTTTCTCTGATAAGATAGCCTAAATCCACTTAGAGACTCTAAATTCAATTTCTTTGCAAAACTTAACATTAGAGTTTCATAAGTTAACTTTTTTAATGACAATTTTAGTTGAAGATTCATGGGTAAAGGCACATATTGTAAAACACCATGAACATTCTCCCATGACCCTCCAAAACACAAATCTATCCAAACATGATCAACATTAGATGATTTTATTCTACAAATTGTAAATTAATTTACTAAACAAACGAGCTATAAACTACATATCATCACTAACTTAGAGAAAAACATACCTTTATTAAGTTGATAGTTGATAATTTGGGAGAGAAATCATTGAAAAATTATATAGAAATAAAATTATGTAAAAAAAATTAGAGATGGGGAAGGATGTCGTTGGATATAGGAATGGATGTCGCCGGAGAGAGTGATAGATGGAGATGGAATGAGTTGCGATTTAGGGATTTAGGTTATAAGTTGCTGCTACTGCGTAGTTATATACCCAAAACATTTGTGTTGCGAAACTAAAACCTGTTGCGAAATTAAATTCGTGTTGCAAATTCGAAAATCGAGTTGTGAATTTGAAATTCAGTTGCGAATTTGAAATTCAGTGTTACGAATTTGAAATTCAGTGTTGCAAATTTGACTATCGCGTTGCGAATTTGACTTATGTGTTGCGATTTACAGATTCGCGTTGCGAATTTGACTTTTGTGTTACGAATTTGACTATCGCGTTGCGAATTTGACTTCTGTGTTGCGAATTTGACTTCAGTGTTGCGATTTACAGATTCGCGTTGCGAATTTGAGATCGCGTTGCGAATTTGTTGGTCATTTTCACAAATCCAAAAATAGTTGGTTAAAATCGTATATTATAAGATATTTTCGGTCACTGAAGTTATTTTCTCTTATTTTTACACCTACATATTCACGTGGTACACTCCATTATTACTATGCATGCATGCCACAAGGAATATTTTATTTCTACACCTACATATTCACGTGGTATATATTCCCAAGGCAATAAGAAAATATGAAGTAAACAACCTGATGTTGTAAGCTATATAATTTCAAGGATATGGCCAGTGTAGCAGGTGAGTTTTGGATGTATTTTAAACAAGAGATAATATATAAAATAACATGATTGTGATTCAAAGCATCAGCAAATATTTGCAAATATGATGGTTTGGCATCTTGTGATTTTTCAATTCCTTAATCATATTTTCTAATCGTTTTGTCAGAGTGGGTAATATCATATTTACAAAAATCGTTTTATCAACCAATTCAAGTTGCTGTCATTGTCCTTCATCTTCCTAGTGTTCATTTTCATGGTGTTTAAGCTACAGAATACATCCAAAACTAAGGACTCTCCCAATTATCTACCACCTGTACCATGGAAACTACCTATTATAGGGAACTTGGACCTTTTACTTTTCTCTCTTCCCCGTTACCGATTGACGGAATTAGCCAAGAGGATATATTTTAAGCAAAGAGATCACATATAAAAGGATGGTTAGGCATCTTGTTATTTTTTAGTTCCTTTTCTATTATTTTGTTCAAATGAATTATCAGCTTTCAATTCTTAATCTGTCAACTCTGCTATATGGCCAAACTGCATACTATTTTTTTCACATTTATATTAATTAATTATTCATTTCTCTCAATCATTGACAATTCGATGCTTCAGCTTAAACATGCACTTTGACGTCATAAAAAGAATCTAAGAAGATGGATTTTATCTTCAAAATCCAAGATAAACAATCTCTACCCAAATTAACTTCATAGCTACATGTTTTTCAAACTTATCTCACACTTCATTGAAAGACAGCTGTATTGTCCCCAAGATCAGATTCTGGTGTTCTTTTGGGTTTTTTTTTGTTCTAAACATAAGAGAGGCTGGAAGAGATTATGTATATGATTATAAATAAATCTCTTCACTAAATATTAAAACCAAGTTCTATTAGTTGAAGCATGTGTAAAGATATTGAATAAAACGAAAAGAGATCTTCATGATCGTTGGACAATACATTCATCTTCTTCAATCTTAATGATTTCCATGTCCTGACAACGGTTACGCCTATTATTTTACTCCATTCATGTTCCTCGTTCGAATATTATATTATAGGCAGCCAAAAAAAGTCTAATTTTTCCTCGTAAGCATCCATACATTTTGGTGAAAGAAATAATGATTAAAAATCAGTCTTGACACACAGGCAGGTGTCCGTGTCAAGATTACGCATGCTGCATAAACTCAGAAGAAACGCCATTTCATCAACATTTTCTCCACTAGTTTTCCTACCATGGATAAGGATAACCAACTCAAGTTGCTCGCATTGCCCTTGGCCTTCCTTGTGTTCATTTTCATGGTGTTTAAATTACGGGTGAGATCCAAAATAAAGGACTCACCGGAAAAACTACCTCCTGCACCATGGAAATTACCTATTATAGGTCACTTGCACCTTTTATTTTTCTCTCTTCCCCATCAACGCTTGACAGAACTAGCTGAAAGGCATGGTTCCTTGATGCACCTGCAACTTGGGGAATTACCATACATTGTTGTTTCTTCTCCAGAGGCTGCTAGAGAAGTGATGAAAACGCATGATATCAATTTTGCTACCAGGCCCTATCTCCTTGCTGCAGAAATCCTATCGTATAATTTTTCAGATATTATTTTTGGGCCATATGGAGGTTATTGGAGGCAGTTTAGAAAAGTTTGCACGTTGGAGCTGCTTAGTATGAAACGTGTACAATCATTCCGATCAATTAGAGAAGAGCAGGTATCCAGTTTGGTTAGATCCATCTTTTCTAGTAAAGGATCGGAAATCAACCTAGGAGAACAGTTATACAACTTATCATATAACATCACTTTAAGGACTGCAATTGGCGGAAGATGCAAGCAACATGAAACATTCCTTTCAGTTCTGAGGAAAGTAGTGCAACTTACAGCAGGTTTTAGTATTACCGATCTGTTTCCTTCCTTCAAATTGCTTCCTGTGATCAGTGGGATGAGAGCCAAACTTGAGAGGATGCACCAAGACTTAGACATGATGCTTGAAAGCATTATTGAAGAGCATAAAGCTACCAATGCAAATCCGAAGAACAGTGATGATGTAACAGATGATCTAGTTGATGTTCTTTTGCATCTTCAGGATCATGGAGAACTTGAATTTCCCTTAACAACAGATCATATCAAAGCTGTTATCCTGGTGAGTACTTAGTATTATCTTTTGTGTTTAATAGTCCCATAAATTTAAAATGCTCAAATATTAATGAACTTGAAGGTTGAGATTATTGGGAAGTTCCTTTATTTAGTTTTCAAATATAAGACCTTGCTTTCTTCAGTTGCTTGAATGTTGTACATAGATGTTTTGTAATTTAACCAATTAGAACTACTTATCAGGACATGCTTGGAGCTGGAACTGAGACATCCTCAACGACAGTAGAATGGGCAATGTCGGAAATGATGAAAAATCCTAGTGTCCTGGTGAAAGCACAAGCTGAGGTGAGGCAAGTCTATGATGGAACAAGGGATGTCAATGAATCATATCTCCATGAATTGAAATACTTGAAGTTAGTTATCAAGGAAACTCTAAGATTACACCCTCCTCTACCTTTGTTACTTCCAAGACAAAATACTGAGAGATGTGAGATTAATGGGTATGAGATACCGGCCAAGACTAAAGTGATTGTTAATGCTTGGGCAATTGGAAGAGATTCCAACTACTGGAATGAAGCCTACAAGTTCGATCCAGAGAGATTCATTGATAGTTCAGTCGACTATAAAGGGACTAACTTCGAATATATTCCCTTTGGGGCTGGAAGGAGGATATGCCCAGGCATGTCATATGGTATGGCTGTTGTTGAGCTTATCCTTGCACAATTACTGTACCATTTTGATTGGAAACTCCCTAATGGGCTTAAAAATGAGGATCTAGACATGAATGAGGCCTTCGGCAGTACTGTTAGAAGAGAAAGAGATTTGAAGCTGGTTCCCATTCCTTACTACCCACAACCATGTGTTCCGTAGTTGTTGCATGGTAGCTGTTATTTGGGTTCAATATTCTACTTTAAAGTGTATTACTTTGCGATTTTCAGTGTATCTTGTTTTAGAGAGAGTTTTCAAATAATGTTCCCTTTTCTTTTGCAACTTGTGGTTGGTGCATGTAAAAACAATTAGTTCAGTTCAATTATTCAGGTGACAGGGGACTCCGTTGTTTCAGTTGAAACAGTCTAGTTCCTGCAGTATTAGGTTTGCAATTCTAGAACTATAAGCACAGTTGAAATTAAACTTTGTTAGCCACAGAAACACAAAGGGTTATTACAGTTTTGCCAGGTGTCTTTTGTTTGGTTTATTCTTCATAATCTCATGGTTAATCACAATTCTACTTGAAATGTTGAGATGTTTAGATCTATAAGCAGCAGATTATTACAGATGGAATTTATGTCCTTTTTAAACATATCTTCATTTCATTGAAGGAAAACTGTAGTTTGATTACCATTAAAGAATCCTAGGCTGGAAGAGAATATGTATATTACTATAGATCTTTTCTAAAAATATTTTCCATCAAAGCTTGTGAAAAGATATTGATACAAGAAGAAAAGGATTCTCCTGATCATGCTTACTATTTTACTCCATCGATGTTCGAGTTCCGATACTATATTATAGCCATGAAAAGGGCAACTTTGTGAAATTAAACGCTTTCAGCAATACCTGAACTGTTTTCCCTTTAGTCTGTAATTTTGTCATGGGATAAGTTTCTCCCATTGGCCTTCACCTTCCTCGTGTTCATTTTCATGGTGTTTAAGCTATGGATGAGTTCCAAAATGATGGACTCTCCCAAAAATATACCTCCTGCACCATGAAAACTACCTCTTATAGTCCACTTGCACCATTTAGTTTACTCTCTTCCCCGTAACCTCTTGATGGAATTAACCAAGTGGCATGGCCCGGTGATGCACCACCTACAACTTGGTGAGTTAGTACACGTTATTGTTTCTTCTCCAGAGGATGCTAAAGAAATGTTGAAAACAAATGATATCAAATTTTCAGATCAAGCACCATATGGATGCTACTGCCAGCAACTTCGGAAAGCTTGCACATTAGAGCTGTTAAGTACGAAACGTACAGTCTTTCTGTTCAAGCAGAGACGAGCATGTATCAAGTTTAATTGGATCCATAAATCAACTTTTGGAAAAATGTTATGCAACTGTCTTTATCAGACTAAAATTGATAATTTTGCAATGTTTTTCCATTCGAGTCAGTATCTGATTAATTCGTACTTAACAGCCCGAATATATTCGCAATCAAAGGAAAATAAAAGCCTGAATCTATAAGCTATATAATTTCTAGGATTATGGCCAATGGATAGAGGATCAGGTTAACTTTGAATTTAATTTAAACAAGAGATAACGTATAAGATAACCGGAATATCATCAAATATTTAAGGGAAAACATGCACAGTTGTTGAAGTAATCTAAAGAAAATTATAACCTGATCCTTTAAGCTATATAATTTCTAGGATTATGGCCGATGGATAGTTGAGCAGGTGAGTTTTGAATGTATTTTAAACGAAAGTAACGTATAAGTAAACCGGATTGTGATTCAAAGCATCAGCAAATCTTAAGGAAAAATATGGTTTGGCATCTTGTGATTTTTTAATTCCTTTATGCATAATTTACTATTATTTTCATATAAATGATAAAAAAAAATCCAAAACACATGAAATTCGTGCTAAAATTACACAGCAAAACAGGTATAAAGAAGGGGTACAAGTGTACTCTCCCTATCAATGCCTAGGCTCTTGCATAGACCTATCATGGATAATCAATTCCACTTGCTGCCATTGACCTTCACCTTCATAGTGTTCATTTTTATGGTGTTTAAGCTACGTATGAGACCCGAAATAAAGGACTCACCGGAAAAAATACCTCCTGCACCATGGAAACTACCTCTTATAGGGCACTTGCACCATTTACTTTTCTCTCTTCCCCATCACCGCTTGACGGAATTAGCCAATAAGCATGGTCCCGTGATGCGCCTTCAACTCGGTGAATTATCACTCGTTGTTGTTTCTTCTCCAGATGCTGCGAAAGAAGTGTTGAAAACACATGATATCAATTTTGCCAACAGGACCCCTCTCCTCTGTGGAGAAATCATATGGTATAATTGTACAGATATTGTTTTTGCACCATATGGAGGCTATTGGAGGCAGCTTCGAAAAGTTTGTACCATGGAGCTGCTAACTACCAAACGTGTACAATCATTTCGATCCATCAGAGAAGAGCAGGTATCAATTTTAATTCGATCCATCTTTTCCAATACGGGATCGAAAATAAACATCGGAGAAATGTTATGCAACTTATCATACAACATCACTTCAAGGGCTTCTATCGGCGGAAGGTGCAAGCAACATGAAGCTTTCATTTCAACCGTGAGGGAAGTTCTGGATGCGGTACCTGTTTTTAGTATTTCTGATCTGTTTCCTTCTGTCAAGTTGCTTCCAATAATCCTTGGCATGAGAGCCAAACTTGAGAGGCTTCACCATGAGTTAGACGCGATGCTTGAAAGCATCATTGAAGAACATAGAGTTAGCAATGCAAATCCGAGTACCGGTGATGATGCAACGGAGGATCTACTAGATGTTCTTTTCAATCTTCAGGATCATGGAGGTCTTGAATTTCCCTTAACAACTGACAACATCAAAGCTGTTCTCCTGGTTAGTAGTTTGATCTCTCGTGTCTTGCATATTTATACATATGTGTAAGACATTGCTTTCTTCACTCTTCAGTTTCATGAAATGTAAGTTGTACAAAGATATTTTGTACCTAGTTTAACTGAGTAGAACTGCATTTCAGGACATTCTCATGGGTGGAACTGAGACATCTTCTTCAACAGTTGAATGGGCAATGTCCGAAATGATGAAAAATCCTAGAACCATGGAGAAAGCACAAGCCGAGGTGAGGCGAGTATACAATAGAACAGGCAATGTCAATGAATCGGACCTTCATGAATTGAAATACTTGAAGTTAGTTATCAAGGAAACACTAAGATTACACCCTCCTGTATCTTTGCTAATTCCAAGAGAAAATACTGAGAGATGTGAGATTAATGGATATGAGATACCAGCCAAGACCAAAGTGGTTGTTAATGTATGGGCAATTGGAAGAGATCCCAACAACTGGAATGAAGCCGACAAGTTCAAACCGGAGAGATTCATCAATAGTGTAGTCGACTATAAAGGGTCTAACTTCGAATATATTCCCTTTAGTGCTGGAAGGAGGATATGTCCTGGCATGTCATATGGAATGGCTGTTGTTGAGCTTTCCCTTGCACAATTACTTTATAATTTTGATTGGAAGCTCCCTAATGGGATGAAAACCCAGGATTTGGATATGGCTGAGGTGTTTGGTCTTACTGTTAGAAAGAAAAGAGAGCTGCATTTGATTCCAATTCCATACCACCCATCACCATGTGTTCAATAGTTAGAAATATATCACAGATGATCTCGTTGTAATGCTGGTGAGAGGATTTTCAGATCACCTTTGTATCTAAATAATGCTCCATTGTAGCAGGGTTGTAGCATGCTTAAAAGAATAATTAAGTGTAATGTTATTCACACTCACATGGAAATCCTTTATACTATTTGAGGCAAACAAATTACAGTATCCTGAATAAACTAGGGTGTTCCTTTTTCCCCCTTCTTTCCTTATGAAAAATGAATTGAAACATAGTCCTTCTGAAAAGTAGTCAAAGAAAACAAGAGACCAGACATTATATCATGAATTCTTGAATCATGCGCCAGTTACATCCTTAGTTTTAAAAATCATGTCTAGACATATCCGAGGCGCAAAACGTTTATGGCACATAAGAAAACGTTTATGGCACATATCTAAAATTTATTAATATACTCATATTTTTATATCAACTTTAAAAATAAATCAATAGAATTCTGATCTGACCTTGATCAGCACCAACTTTCTCATTACCTTGCTCAAACCATTGAAGACTTCCATGGCTGATCTTAAGGGAGTTCTCCTTAACTTTAACTTATATTATCTTATAAATGCTTTCTATTCTATCATGAACATGCATTCATGATAACTCTGTAAAAAGGTCACATTTTGGGATCTTTCACTTAAGTTATTGAATGTCTAAGAGCCCATTTAGAACCATATAGATGCATTTAGGAGCATATAGTTGCATGTGGTAGAATTCGGTTTGCCGCGACATTTTTATTTCTCTTCAGTGCTGCCTTATGGGAAATGTGTTTGTTAAATGATGTGCAAGAATTGAGAGAAGGGAAAAGAGAAAAGGAAATGCCGTGACATAAGGAGATTGCTGAGCTAAATAAAAATGCCAAGTTCGACTGACATTTCGAAAGCGCACAAGGTGAAAGAAGATATTTTCCAGCTAGCTGTCCCCGACTCTCCGTGTCCAAGTTGATGTACTCTTACCATATTTCAAACCCGACATCTTCTAGTGTTTGAGCACACTGAGGCAAAACACGTCTTAAACAATTTATATGTTTATTAAAATCCACTTCGCGATAAGCTTTTACAGCCTTCCAGTATGTCCATTTGTGATTTTTTATACCAGCGGACCTTGATTTTAGATTTCTGTACAAATGAACACCACAAAGTCCATGAAAAGCATCTGGGAAACACCTTCTAACAGCGTTGTCAATTGAGTTTGCCCTATCAGATATGATTATCAGATTGCCAATAGGACATATATAATCCCTAAGATGCCCCATAAACCATGTCCATGAATCAGAGGTTTCAGATTTGCCAACCCCGTAAGCTATTGGCAGTTTTCCATTGTTAGCATCCACGGCTACTGCTAATAAGTTTACTCCAAGGTATCGACCTTTCAAATGTGCTATGTCAACTATAATAACTGGGCGCATTCAAGTAATAAACGAACGAATCTACAAAATCATATACACAAGAAATATAATCATTTAAATGTGAAATGCATGCAACTAACAAAAATGAGTCAACACAATTATAATGATTTATTAACCGCAGAACCAATGGCGATAAACAGCAACTCAAAGCATCCATCTCTATCTGTTTTGATATGAGTTACCGACCCAGGATTTTTCAGCTTTAAATTATGACAATAAGCCGGCAGTTGGGCAAACGATGCTTCTGGCGACCCCCTCAACAATTCCAAGGCATAACATTTGGCTCTCCAAGCTTGAGAATATGAGATACTAATCTTGAACCGAGCATTCATGTTAGTCATAATTTCATGTCCCCGATATACCCTTCTATTAAAAAACATTAACTCAGCCAGAAAACCACCCAACACCTTTTTGTTTGCCTGTCTATGGTGAGGAAAAACTTGGGTTCTTAAACATGTATGTTTATCAATAAAAGTCCTAACTTAAAAAATTTCGCAATCTTTTATCCTCTTTGCAATCATACGCCACGTACAATTTTTGTCAATCATACACTTTGTTTCGAAACGATCTTTGTTTGATTTGTTAACTTTTAGTTGATAGCCATCTTCCACACATTTCATATACAAATCTATCTTCAAGTCTTCCTTTGTATCAAAAAAATCATCTTTCTTGATACGAATAACTTTTGTGTAACAATCAACTACTATCTTTACCAACTCTTCTTCCGGTATCTGAAGTAATTCTGGCATATTCCAGTTATAGTCCCGTGGCATTTTCTTCTTTTTCTTTTCTTCGGGGACTTCTTTTTCTTCTTCAGAGTTATATGAATTACAGAATGGATGTTCAACATGTTCATTCACAGTCGTAACTTCCTCCTCATTATCATCAACAACATCTTCCTCTGCAGCAGCCGTTTCATCATCAAAATTTGGGTATTGACCAATATCAAAATCATTACATGCAGGGTCTGTTTCTTCTTCTGAAACATCATCAAAATCCGAGTATTGACCAAGATTAAAGTCCGGGTATTGACCAAGATCAAATTTTGAATACTGACTAGTACTCACAATTTTTTCTGTTGGCTCATAATCGTCTAACTGGTCAGTACAAAAATCAGAATTTGGTGTTGAAAGTTGATTGAGATTTGGATTAGGAAAAGGTTGTGGGTTTTGAGATTGGGTTTGATATTGTGTTTGGTATTGGAAATATTGTGAAACAAAATTTCTTGGTGATGAAATTGTGGTGGAACCATTAAATTTTGAGATTGATAACAACGTTGTACATTGTGAGCACCATAAACTGAGGTTGAAGAACTTAGTTGATTACTACTCGCTACTGACCCAACTTCACTACTTCTAGTTCAACCACATATAATGTAACATCATCTTCTTGCGAAACACTAATGTAAGCAATGAATCGTTCAATATCTTCATTGTCGGTTAACAAATAAACTTTACCTTTTCTCTGATAAGATAGCCTAAATCCACTTAGAGACTCTAAATTCAATTTCTTTGCAAAACTTAACATTAGAGTTTCATAAGTTAACTTTTTTAATGACAATTTTAGTTGAAGATTCATGGGTAAAGGCACATATTGTAAAACACCATGAACATTCTCCCATGACCCTCCAAAACACAAATCTATCCAAACATGATCAACATTAGATGATTTTATTCTACAAATTGTAAATTAATTTACTAAACAAACGAGCTATAAACTACATATCATCACTAACTTAGAGAAAAACATACCTTTATTAAGTTGATAGTTGATAATTTGGGAGAGAAATCATTGAAAAATTATATAGAAATAAAATTATGTAAAAAAAATTAGAGATGGGGAAGGATGTCGTTGGATATAGGAATGGATGTCGCCGGAGAGAGTGATAGATGGAGATGGAATGAGTTGCGATTTAGGGATTTAGGTTATAAGTTGCTGCTACTGCATAGTTATATACCCAAAACATTTGTGTTGCGAAACTAAAACCTGTTGCGAAATTAAATTCGTGTTGCAAATTCGAAAATCGAGTTGTGAATTTGAAATTCAGTTGCGAATTTGAAATTCAGTGTTACGAATTTGAAATTCAGTGTTGCAAATTTGACTATCGCGTTGCGAATTTGACTTATGTGTTGCGATTTACAGATTCGCGTTGCGAATTTGACTTTTGTGTTACGAATTTGACTATCGCGTTGCGAATTTGACTTCTGTGTTGCGAATTTGACTTCAGTGTTGCGATTTACAGATTCGCGTTGCGAATTTGAGATCGCGTTGCGAATTTGTTGGTCATTTTCACAAATCCAAAAATAGTTGGTTAAAATCGTATATTATAAGATATTTTCGGTCACTGAAGTTATTTTCTCTTATTTTTACACCTACATATTCACGTGGTACACTCCATTATTACTATGCATGCATGCCACAAGGAATATTTTATTTCTACACCTACATATTCACGTGGTATATATTCCCAAGGCAATAAGAAAATATGAAGTAAACAACCTGATGTTGTAAGCTATATAATTTCAAGGATATGGCCAGTGTAGCAGGTGAGTTTTGGATGTATTTTAAACAAGAGATAATATATAAAATAACATGATTGTGATTCAAAGCATCAGCAAATATTTGCAAATATGATGGTTTGGCATCTTGTGATTTTTCAATTCCTTAATCATATTTTCTAATCGTTTTGTCAGAGTGGGTAATATCATATTTACAAAAATCGTTTTATCAACCAATTCAAGTTGCTGTCATTGTCCTTCATCTTCCTAGTGTTCATTTTCATGGTGTTTAAGCTACAGAATACATCCAAAACTAAGGACTCTCCCAATTATCTACCACCTGTACCATGGAAACTACCTATTATAGGGAACTTGGACCTTTTACTTTTCTCTCTTCCCCGTTACCGATTGACGGAATTAGCCAAGAGGATATATTTTAAGCAAAGAGATCACATATAAAAGGATGGTTAGGCATCTTGTTATTTTTTAGTTCCTTTTCTATTATTTTGTTCAAATGAATTATCAGCTTTCAATTCTTAATCTGTCAACTCTGCTATATGGCCAAACTGCATACTATTTTTTTCACATTTATATTAATTAATTATTCATTTCTCTCAATCATTGACAATTCGATGCTTCAGCTTAAACATGCACTTTGACGTCATAAAAAGAATCTAAGAAGATGGATTTTATCTTCAAAATCCAAGATAAACAATCTCTACCCAAATTAACTTCATAGCTACATGTTTTTCAAACTTATCTCACACTTCATTGAAAGACAGCTGTATTGTCCCCAAGATCAGATTCTGGTGTTCTTTTGGGTTTTTTTTTTGTTCTAAACATAAGAGAGGCTGGAAGAGATTATGTATATGATTATAAATAAATCTCTTCACTAAATATTAAAACCAAGTTCTATTAGTTGAAGCATGTGTAAAGATATTGAATAAAACGAAAAGAGATCTTCATGATCGTTGGACAATACATTCATCTTCTTCAATCTTAATGATTTCCATGTCCTGACAACGGTTACGCCTATTATTTTACTCCATTCATGTTCCTCGTTCGAATATTATATTATAGGCAGCCAAAAAAAGTCTAATTTTTCCTCGTAAGCATCCATACATTTTGGTGAAAGAAATAATGATTAAAAATCAGTCTTGACACACAGGCAGGTGTCCGTGTCAAGATTACGCATGCTGCATAAACTCAGAAGAAAC